CCAGGTCTGTGCAGTACTCTCACATTTCCAAGACCATGTCTAGAGAAGAGTGAAGAAGGAATTGCCTCAGATATTATGTCCCCGCAACAGAGAGACAAGACTTTTATACAACGAACCCAGATGACCAAAGACAAAGAGAGGTTAGGACACAAACTCAGGTTGGCCCAGCCTTTGCGTTATTTAGAGCAGTACCTCTCTCAGCAGTGGCTGCCTTGCTATTGTTTTCAGCTCTGACATAATTTGAACAGGTAATTAACTTCTGGTTTCTAGTTTCACATGTTACCAGCCAACCCAAAGACTTCACAGAGACATGAGATACTCAATCCAGAGAACAATTGAGAAGCCAGCATAATAGAGTTTTATGCATGCACGTGAAATTAAGCAAGTATGTGATGTTTGTTTGTTTTTTTTCTCCCAGAGGCTGTGAGGTTCTCTGCGCCCTGCCCCTGTGTATAAATATGACTGTGCACCAGGCTGAGATGAAGGAAAAGCTCAGTGATTGCCATTGAGTAAGCCAGCAGAGGCTGCAGTTCTGTGCAGTGTTGGGGCATGATCGAGTGTTCCCATCAAGTACATCCAGGTACTTTCCATCAGTCCTCTGTGCCAGGGTTTGATGACATCACAAAAATCTGTCCCCCTTCTGTATCTTGGACTCCCATCTCCCACTCCACGCTTTGCACTCTTCTAGGGCTGCACAATATCCAGACTCTCTTCCTAGACTGACCTTTCTTTTCCCAAACACTATAAATCCATGCATGGCCCTGAACCTTCGGAGTTGCTGTTTCCTCTTCCTGGAATCCCCTTCCTTCTGCTCTCTACTGGCTCTTCCCTCAATCACATCTCACCCACTGTACCACTTCAGAGAGGTTGACTGCTTTCCTCAGCCCCCCTCCATCTCAGAAGCACCACAATGCATCATCCCCACAATGTCACACCCAGCCCACCTGAAATATGTTTTTCACTTACATGTACTTTTCCTATTAATTCTGATTCTCACATGGCTCTATTAGAACATGAGGTTTTTCTGTTTTGTCTAACTCTACACTATACACCCCTCCATCCTTCAAGGATGTCTGTTGCTATGCAGACACACTAAGTTATATTTATTATTCATGAAGAGTACCCTACCTTATGGCTGTGCAACAAGTTACCCAGGATTCACTGGAAACTACTTTTCTCTGTAACCTTGCATCCTAGGGCAGCTCCCTTCCCCTCCATACCAACTCTAGCCCTATTTCCACAACCTGGAAGTCAGGAGTGACCCTCTAGCTTTGGGGGGAATATCTAGCATTCTTGTATCTCAACTGGAGGCCCTGTTTTTCACCATGTTAAGAGAAAAAAAATCCTCCCATTATCATGACATAAAAAGCATACAAAGATGATGAAAGTCTTCAAAGTGTTTACATGCTACTGAAATGATGTCATCTACATACTTTATATGAGAAGGAGAGAGAATGGGAGGGAACGGGACCTTTTCACTCTGGCTTTCAATATTTGTGATGAGAAAAACTTCCTAACAGCTGCTTGCTTCCTTCCTGTTTTTTTTCTCAACTTCCCACAAAAGGAAATCCCCTGGCATGTGATCAGAAAGTGTGGCAAAGAGAGACAGTTCAGCAATGCTTACTTTGGGTGACCAAGAAAAGAACTTCAGATGTGGGAGAAAACAGATCTTACTGCTTCTCATTCTCTCTCTCTCTCTCTCCCTCATGATTTCTCTCCCAGAATCTCTTCCTTAACCTGAGGAGACAGCAATCAAGTTCTTGATCAAGTCTCAGGTGACTACAGTTAGAGATGTCACTATCAGGAGAGAGTTCCTGCCACCCCAAAAAGTGGGACAATCCTGCTTCTGACACTCTGGTACAGAACCATAAAGACTAACATATATAATGCCCAGTGTATAGTTTTGTCCAACACACCAAGCTCACTCCATGTTATAAAATACAACTTTTGAGATCAGTCCTCTCCCTCCAGCATTTGGGTCTCAGAAATCAAACTCAAGCTTGATAGCAAACCTTTACCCACTAAGCCATCATCTCTCTGCCTCTGATACATTTTTTGAATCATAAAACTCAACTCAGAACTGTGATGTAGTGTGCCATTATCCACAGCAATAGACATACACAAGAGAAAAGTTTATTTTATTGTGAAGCATGAGAATGTAACCCTGAAAGACTACTGACAGGCCTTTGAAGGAAGTAGGAGCTTCAGAAAAACTGTATCTTAGGAAGTTATGAAGTTTAGAACATAACCCACTGGAGACAGCCAACTTGATAGAACATGCAGGTATTCATAAAAACTCTGCAGAAGACAGAAACAAGAGAAAGTATGAAGATATCAGATGGAAAGGGCACCAAAGCATGCAGACCAGAATGCCTCTCTGGAATGAACAGTAATCAGGAAAAACTATCAGTTCAAGCTGTAAGTGCTGTGTTTGTGTGTGTGTGTGTGTGTGTGTGTGTGTGTATGTGTGTGTAAAGATGTAAACAAAGAATGGAAGAATTTGTGAAGAATGCATATCATGTCATTGGTAAGTCTTCCACAAAGATGTAAAATGGAGAGAGACAGACTTTCACAGGATTCATTACAACTCAACTTAGGGAACTCTTCGTTACTTTATGCTTTAAGATCGGACTAAAAATCTTATCTCAGCATTGCTGGAAATATTAAATGACATGTAAGACCACACCATAGATCAACATGGATGCTCCATACACACTCCATTCTGCCACCCCACCCCTCCCAGTGGACATCATCTAGATGTAGGTTATAAAGAGAAGTCCCAGCTCTGTAAAGATTCATAATTTTATGAAAGCTGTCTGGAATGTGTGTGGTGGGCTGACAGTGCTCATTGTGGGAATGTAGGAAGCAGGGCATTATTGATCCGTGCTTCACAATGTGGAGCGCAGAAATATCTCTAACAGAAGGAAAGGGCTATGGAATCCAGTTCTCTGCCACTGAGTTCTGGAATGAGAAACTCGAGAATTACCATTTCACAAAAGATGGACTGATGCATTTTGACCACATTCTTCTGACAGGGCGTCCACTCTGATTCTCACATTCTTTCTGTATTGATTTCAGACAGGAAAAAAAAATGGTGCCCGACACAAGTCTTCTGAAATGTTTTCAAAACTGCTGTCCTATTTAGTTGTACCACTAACACATCAAGTCACAAAGGGGATCTGAAAGTGACATTTAGGGACTGTGTTAGAACATTTTTTTTCAAGGAAAGGACTACTAGGCAATGAATGACCACTCTGCCCTGTCTACATTAGCCTTAGACACAGCTGAGAAAAACAGATCAGAGTCATACAGACATTTTCCACAAAAGTTCCCTTGATCCCAGATCACCATTATCTAAGGCGCCTCTGAAGCAGACAGCCTTATTCAAACTAACCATCTGAGGAGTTTTCTATTTCTGTTTTGTTTGTTTGTTTGTTTTTTTCTGCTCTTGCTTTCAAAAGCAATCTTTAGTGACACTTAAAGCCTTAATTGATCAGAGCTTCCCCAATATTTAACATCATCATGTCGAAAAAAGATAGCTCCACAGTCAGAAGCTAAGAAGCTAGACGGGAAACTTGCATTTGAAGACTGGAAAGTCAAATAGTCCGGGTAGCCTAATAGAGGCGGCCACCGCGATCCGAGGAAGTGTTGAAGAAGCCTGAAGGTCAACAGGGCAGGACACTGGAGCCATTAAGGACCTGTTATTTCCTAAACCATCCACTATTCAAGGCATTATGGTGTTTCTCTTAAAAACAAACTTGACTTCTGAAATTGGAATCTGTGTGGTTTCTAATAGGCTAACACTACTACCTCCTTCCCGCCCCCAACCCCACATAATTTTTAAACATTACCTTTAAACAAAATTCTTCACACCCCACACTGTCCTTCCCCCTGGCTTCCTCTACGCTCCTAAAAGGCACTCCGAGTTTCTTTAGTTTCTAAAAATCGCTTTTTATAGATTTTCTTTTAAGTCAAACTAACAGTACGCAAGAAAGGGGCTGAAGCCCGTGGGAGCTCCCGAGGCAACAGCCGCAAAATAGCAAGTTTCTCCTCTCTCATCTTAAAAATCTGCAATTTTCTCACCGTTGCCCTTCAGTCCAAGCTGTCTCGGTATTTTGTTAGGTTTAGTTTTATTGTGCCCAAAGAAGATTTCTTGGGAAACTCGTTAGGGTAAAAAAGAGAACCTTCCAGACTCATTCACTCCCTCCTCGCTTACAGACCCTTTCACAAACAATGGTGAGCGAGGAACCATGCTTTCCTGTGGGCCTCCCATCGCACAGATTAGGGGTGATCCAGAAGAGGAAAGTCCCTGCGCCCCTGGGCGCTACACTCCCTGGGTCCTCCTTGCAGCTCCCAGACCCTACAGGAGAGCTCCCGGTTGGTCACCCCGCACACCCGGTTGGCTGGAGGGTCTCAGGGCCCCGAGACCCCCGCACCGCTCCGGAGACTGGCAGAGGACGAAGGGTCTGCTAGCGCGAAGAGTCCCCTTCTCTACTCCTCAGCGGTTGCAGAGTCAGAGTGTCTGGGCAGCACCCCAAGCCCCCAAGCACGGTGTGGATCGCAATCTTCCCTGCACCCCTAACCGAGCAGACCCGCAGCGTGGCCAACCGCAGAGTTACCTGCTGAGGCTCGAGTGCCGCGCTGTCTGTCCCGCGGCGTTTGCCGCATCGGGTCCCCAGCAGGCGGCGAGCGGAAGCCTGAGCGAGCGAGGTGACAAGGACGCGATCCCTGCCCCCCCCAACCCCCCTCGGTGTGGCCGAGTTGCGGAGCGGGGCGCTGTGTTACCGGGAGTCTGAGACCGCCACCGTTCCCCTCACAGCCCTCCGCGCCCGGCTCCGCGTCCCCAACGGCTGCGTGCGACGCGGCGGAAAGCTCCTCCTTATTGCTGGCGCCAGATGCTCCCTGGCCACCGCCACCAAGTTCGCGCTGAAAGTGCTGTCTCGCGTCTACCCTTGGGCTCCAAGACCCCCGGGGCGGCAGCCGCGCTCCCCGATTCCTACCTTAGGGCGGGGCGGTCACCATCCGCTCCCTCTCGCTGGAAGTCCCGGACAAGAAAATCACTGCGAAGGGAGGGCCGGGAAAGGGAGGCGGGTGGCTTCAGGACAAGGTAGGAGGATTGATTTCCAGAGCCAAGAAGACACTCCCATCCTGCCCCGGTTTGTTGGGAAAGCTGCGGAAGCAAAGGCGGGAGGCTGTGAAGGATTCTCCTTCCAGGCGATTGTGGGAGGCTGAAATCAACAGAGTGTGGTCTCAGCCTGGACTGTCTGTGACATCAGACACAGCGGGTATTTTGGTCTCTAGCTGAAAGGGAGAGGTGCTCACAAAGCTACACAATTTCCTGACTCTGGTCTTCAAAGACTGAAGTGTTAGGGGAGTAGCTGTAGACATCTTATATTTCTAAAAAGATCTGTTACCTCAGGAAGAATGAAGGTGGCACTTTTTCGCTCCTCCCCGCCCCTCTTCTTTCCTTTTCTTCTTTCCTTCTTCCCTCTCTCTCTCTCTCCCTAACCTTTCTTTCTGTAGCTTTCACTAGGAATGAGTTTGTATTAAGAATGCCCTCTGACTTGCGGAGCTCTGAATGCTTTTTACATTTCAGCCTTTGTCAAACAATCCATTGTTTAGCATTTAACTCACAGCCCCAGCCTTTGGGCTCTGGTAAAATATTCACAGGCAACTAAATGACCCCCAGGAGAGAAGAGCTACAGTCTGGAAGGGAAGGTGCTGAGTGTAATTCAAAGCTGACAGTGTGTCAAGTGGCAGCAAAGTCCTTCCACTGTGATGGACCTTCTGGTATTTTTCTTAATTATACCAACAGCCCTAGAAAGTTGCACTTGTTTTTCCAATCCAAATATAGAAAAGGCTCAGACCAGTCGTATTCTTCACCCTTTCTACAAATTACCTTTGACATAACTCACATAGATTTTGTAATTATATGTTTGGTTCTTGGGACACCAGGGTAGTCAAAAAAAAGGTCCTGGAATTTGTTCATCTAGATAAATTTTCTGGAGAACTACCACAAACTTGTAGATTCTGCTGAGTTCTTTCATGCTCTCTTCATGGTCTTTAAAACTAAACCTGTGGCCAGGCGATGGTAGAGCACGCCTTTAATCCCAGCACTTGGGAGGCAGAGGCAGGCGGATTGCTGAGTTCGAGAGTTCGAGGCCAGCCTGGTCTACGGAGTGAGTTCCAGGACAGCCAGGGCTACACAGAGAAACCCTGTCTCGAAAAAACAAAAAACAAACAAGAAAAATTAAACCTGCTTTTTGCGTTATTCCTTCTGATCCCCTAGGTTTTGTGTGCTTGATTTGTTTTTGACAGCAGCACCCCGCTGTGTAATCTAAGCTGGCATGGAAATCTAGGTTTTCCTTTTTTTTTGTTTTGTTTTGTTTTGTTTTTATTTTTCGAGACAGGGTTTCTCTGTGTAGCCCTGTCTGTCCTGGAACTCATTCTGTAGACCGGGCTGGCCTCGAACTCAGAAATCCACCTGCCTCTGCCTCCCAAGTGCTGGGATTAAGGGCATGCACCACCACCACCTGGTCTCTTTCTCAGATTCTTGAGTACTGGGGTATCCATCAGTGTGGTGTGGTGGGGGAGGGACATTCCTAGATTCTCCTCCATTTTGCTTTTATTATGTTGTTGTTTATATAGGGTCTTTTTATCTTGCTGTGTAACTCAAGCTGGCTTCTGACTAGTGACAATCCTCCTGCTTCATTCTTCCATCTGCTGATATTACATGAATACACTATACTCCTAGATGTGTGTGTGTGTGTGTGTGTGTGTGTGTGTGTGTGTGATATTCACCATGTGGTTGCTGGGAATTGAACTCAGAACCTCTGGAACAGCAGAGAATGCTCTTAACCTCTAAACTAGCCCCATTGCCTAGACTTTAAAAAAAAAAAAAACCTGCAAAGGAATATGCTAAGGGAGGTCAGGAGCTGCACTTAGGTAAGTCCATAACTTTTCATATTCTGCAAAGATTGGCAGTAACCTGCTCACCTGCCTTGGAGTCCTCCAACCCCTTTGACAAACCTAGCTCCAAAAATATTCACATTATAATTCACAACAGAAACAAATTTACAGTTAAGAAGTACCAACAAAAATAATTTTATGGTTAGGGTCACCACAACATCAGGGTTACAGCATTAGAATGTTGAGGACTGCTGGTCTAAAGAAAGGATCAGGAAACTGGTATTTCTCCCGCACCTCCAGATAGGTTGTGCAAACCTGTCCTATTCAAGCCCAGCCTTTTGTAGCATCCTTGATGGAAGACTTTCTACACCTATGAAGGAGACCTACTCATTTATGAGTGCTCACAGTATGATAGTTGTATTAGATCACAGACGACCAACTCAGGACTGAAAATACCCAAAAAGTGACAAGCTAATTCTATAACACATTAACTTAGTAATAATTTTTAAGAATTTGCTTCTTGCTGGGCAGTGGTGGCGCACGCCTTTAATCCCAGCACTTGGGAGGCAGAGGCAGGCGGATTTCTGAGTTCGGGTCCAGCCTGGTCTACAGAGTGAGTTCCAGGACAGACAGGGCTACACAGAGAAACCCTGTCTCGAAAAACCAAAAAGAGTTTGCTTCTTAAACATGTCTTAAGGATTGGGTTGTTTGTTTGTTTGTTTTGGGGTTTGCTGTTTTTTTTTTTTCTTCAGTTTTGTGGAGTTGTTTAGGCCAGGTCAGCCTTGAACTCAAGAGATCTGCCTGCCTCTGGCTCCCAAGTGCTGTGATTAAAGAAAGGTGTGAGCCATCACCGCCCAGCAAGTAGTTTAGCTTTAAATAATATCTTCCTCAAGGCTGAGCCTGACTGAGGAACCCAATTCTATTTCCATTTAACCCTTCCACAGCTTAAGTGAATATCCTGCCTGCTCAATCATCTGGCTGTCATGGAATCTTATCTCCTGTGAGCACTTGTTCCAAGAGCAAGTCCTTCTCAGAACAAGCCACAGCGCCTAAATCGTCTGTATTGTGACTTACAAGTAGGACAACAATGTGGGAAAGCTATTACATTTGCAAGCTTCAGTCTTTATGGGAGCACCATACTTTCCCAAAATCTATCAGACCAAGGCCTCAACTATACTTATGCATGTATACGTATCTGCTGTAATGATTTTGCCAGTTTGAAGACTGACGCATGAAAAAGAATTTGAGTCTATAAGTAAATTGACATTTTCACTCTGTAAACAAGAGTATCCAGTATTGTACAGTCCAAGCACAGTTTCACAGATTATAATAACTTAGTCTCAAGAACCAGATTTTCTCTCCTTCCATTAACTAGAGAACAGACACATCCCATGAACATAACATGTAGAACACAGGGTTGGTGGAAACTAATTAATACACAGGCAACCATTGCCACTTAATAGCCAATGGGTTAATATCCAGAAAATATAAAGATTTGCTATGGGTCCATAAAAAATAAACCATGAAGACAGCCTTCAAAACAAGTACTTCATATAATTAGTAAAACGGCTCACAAGCTTGCAAAATTCCCAATGGTCTGTTAATTACATTTACTTATTTTGTATGTGTGTACAAGTACTACATGTGGCCCACAGCCCCTACCTGCCAGCCGCACTATTGTATGCCACTGTTGCTAGCTCTCTTTCTCTGGTCCTAGCCAAATGTTTCTTTGCTAATACAAAAATGGGCTTTTCTCTACCTACACAACCCACCAAAGTTACTTAAGACAGGATTGGAAAGGTTCTGTCTTGATAGATTTTTACTACTGCTATTAAATTCTATTCAGTTACCACCAATCCTTTTGGCTCTCAATCTTGTCAGAAGTCTGCTAATAATATATTTAAGTTTATGGCCGACAGAATTCCCAAAGCCTCTAACAGTTGACCCAAGATGGTTTCAGAAGACTTGGACACCAGACATCTAGAAGATAAACCTGGATTGTATGTGATGATATAGTCACTAACAAACGCAGTGGGCTAAACTGGATGCTCTGAGTCAAATGACTTAGCTAAGTCAAACCAAGGTAAGTCATTTCTCATGTCATGCATAGCCATTCCACAGAAAAAAAAAAGGCCTGCATCTTCTGGAAGATGCAGTTTGGAAGCCAAACTGACTTCACCCAAGAGACTATGAAGACCATGGGAACTGTTGGCTAGTGGACTCTGTCATTTTTTAAAATAATATATAACTGGTAGATTATTGTTTACTCTTTCTCAGACTTCTGACTACATTGACAGCTAAGCTTTCACAGATATTATCTGTTATCTCATTACCTAAACTCAGTTGCCATCAATTAAATGCTTCATATTTCCTCTTCTTGCTATGACTCTGTCCTAATATTATCTGAGCTCCTATAAACTTTCTAACTCTAATAAAACATTCCACTATACGCTCCAACAAAGACTCATCTTAAAGACTGTGTTGTTAACTCATGCTGTTATCTCTTTTGTAAACTTATAAGCTACAGGAAACCTATTCAGATCTACCTCTCATGGACCAAATAGATGCTATCCAGATCTTGTCAAGTCCAGGCACATCCAAAACAGCTCCAGAGAAGCAACCTCCAGATGCTCCATCTCCTGTCACACACACAGCTGCTTCTACTGAACCTGTTCCTTCTGATCTATCCTCAGATGGCTCGCTCCATAGACCCTGGACAGCAGGAAACAGCCAGCTCTCCTAAGACTGGACAAACATCCTCCACACCCATTCTTCTAGGTTCCACCTAAAGACACGTTGCCTCTAATGCCAGCAGGAAGTAGCCAGATATCACGATGACCCTATTCCTGCTTTGCCATCACCTCTTTCTAATTTTTCTTTTTTGATTAAACCAAAACGGGGGAATGTTAGTATTCTGTCTAAACTCCACCTCCACAGTTACCTGGCAACAGCCAGGTAGGCCTGCCCACTATAAAAGGAGCTGCTTGCCTCCTCCTCTCTCTCTTACTCTCTTGCCTCTAGCTTCTCTCTGCCTCCTCTCCCTTCCCCCCCTTCCCTTCCCCCTCTCTCCACGTGGCCATGGCTGGTCTCTACTTCTCCTCTTTCTCTGCCATCTTCTTATGTTTCTCTCTCCCCACCTTTGCCCTCTTCACTAAATTAAACCCCAACCTCTTGGAACCATCTGATCTGCTGTTATCTGTTCTAAGCTGCACACCGAAGTCTAACACTACATGTGGGGATCAATAAAGAACCTAGGGGAGTGGGGTCTGTCCTTCGACTACATAGATCCCATGTAATGGTAGAATTTAAAAAATCTGTGATGTGGTCCAGCTCTGCTAGGCTAGC